GTTGTCCGCGGGCCGCTGGGGTCACTTCTCTGCCCACGGGCTCCCTGCTCCCCCAGTTTTTTTTCTCTCTTTGTTAACAAACGTGTCTGAGTCTTGGAAAAACACCCCAACCCCGGAAATGTGTGGGAAAAGAAAACAAAAACTTTCCAAATTCCAACGGTCCTGTGCAGTTTTTTCGGGGCAGGTGCTGTTAGGTCCTGACTTTGGTCTGGAGTCTGGGGCCCAACTGGGGCCCGTGAGAGCTGGTAAGTCGCCCTCGAGCTATTGGAGTGAGCCTGGCTTTGGGCTCCCGGGGTGGCTTGTCTTTGTCTCCCCCCTGCGTGTCCCTGCTGGGATGAGGACAGGGACCTGGCTGGGCTCTGGCCCAGTTGGCGGACCCCACCTTCTCAGGAAGGTAGCTATCCCCAGAGGCATCAAGTTGCCCCCTGGTGGCTAAAGAGGGCCCACCCCTCCAGGGCAGTGCATACTGGGCGCTGACCTGGGTGTGGGACAGATACTGCCCAGTCCTAGCAGGGGCCCTAGGAAGAAGGCGTGAGTCCTGGGCTTTCAGGGCCTCGGGGCCTGGCCCTGGGTCTCAAGAGGAATCGGTAGCTGAGACCAGGCGGCCTCCAGTTCTGCCTGACTCTAGGGTCTCTGCACTTCCAGGGTGTTGGACCCTGGGACCCTCCCCACCCCTCAGTCCACTCCGGCTGACCGTGGGCAGCTGCTGGGCTGAAGGTGGAGGTGGGGCCGGCCGCCTTGTCAGCACTCACTCCTTCGCGGAGATCCTAACACGTGCGTGGTCCCCGATGCGCCAGGTGGTGGGTGGGTCTGTGCTTGTTGAGCCTCTCAGCTGCAAGGAACAGAGGCCCACGTGCGCAGCACCCCCGAGAGGGCAGCGTGGGGGGGCTGTCACGCCGCTTGACAGATGAGGTGTGACTCAGCCACGCTTCCGGCACTCGGCTCCTCCCTCTGTCGACTGGCTTCTCCCCTCCGGCGCATCGATCTGGCCTCCCTCCTGCTTTCCCATGCCCTTGGCCGGACTCCCCCTCCGCTGCTGATCCTGCCTCGTGCCGGCCAGCGCCTCCTCACGGCTTCTCCCTGTGCAAAGCCCGGTCCATCTTCAGGCCTGGACACCTCCGTTCCCGCAAGAGCCCCTGCCTTCAGCTGGGAGCGTCCCTTAGCGGGAGACCGCTCCACCGCGGGGCCCTCGGGACTTCCCCAGACTCCTGCCCTGGGTGAGCAAGCCGGCCCCCCCCAACTCTCCGCAGCTGGAGGTATTCATGGACTTGACCTGACAGCCCTCGGGGGTGAGGTGCGGCCCTGCTGCTCCCCCAGCCGCCCACCACCTTGGAGCCTGAGGTCAGCCGTAAGCACCTGTGGACGTCTGGGCGAGGCTCCGGCTTGGGGCCGTCTCGGCAGGATGTCCGGTCCCTGTGCTGGTGATGGGGACCGCTGGTGTCCTCTGCTACTCTCTGCCCAAGGGACATAGGAGGATCGCAGGGTCCCCTCCTTCCTTTTCCACTAGTCAAAGGAAACAAAGGTAGGAGCTCCTTGGCGTCAAGAAAGGAAGGCATGTCCTCATTCCAGAACTCTCTAGCATGGCCCCGAGCAGGGTTGGGGGCAGTCTCTCAGAGTAGGGACACGGGAAGACGGACAGTCCAGGAGCTGGAAGGATGGACCTGGTCCTACTGCTTGCCATATGGCTGTGGGACTTGGCCTTTCTCTCTGTTCCTGCCAGTCAGGCTTGTTTGTAAGAGGAAAGATGGCAGCACTCGGCCATTGACTCGGTTTGCCCATCTGTAAGAGACGGTCACCCGAGTCTCCGTTTCATCGTCGTATGCATCTGCTGTTGAATTAGCACCTTAGCAGGGCTCCTTGGGGTCTGGCTGGCCTGGCGGTGACCCCAGGGGAGCCCCGGAAACAGATAGGCCCTGGGTCCTGGAGGGTCGTGGCCCACCTGGGAGGACCGGAGCAGGGCCACTCAGGATGTGGGCAGAGGGGCAGTCTTGACCCACATGGGGAGCTGGAGGCACACCCCAGGGGAAAGGAGGAGCCATCTCCCACCAGCCCTAGCTTCTGCCTTCTGGAAGCTTCTGGAGCCCTGGGGCCCCGAGGATGGTGGGCAGGGTAAGAAGGGCTACTGGGTCTCAGCTGGGCAGCAGAGGGACAAGATGCAGAGTCCTGGGCAGGCAGGGACCACCTTCTCTTTGGGCATCATTGCCCTGCCCCTTTGCCTCGGGGGTCTTCACTGAGGGTGGCCATAGGCAGACGACGGAGAGACACAGACCCCAGAGGCCGCAGCTGACAAGACCAGGCCTTGTGGGGGCAAGGAGCTGCTTTCTGTCTTCCCATCCCGTGTGCAGGCATATACAGATCGCTGATGTGTGTCGTGTGTGTGCGTGTCGGGGGGGCACAGCCCTTGGCTGAGGTGCCCAGCCCTTGGCTGAGGTGCCCGGAAGCAGTGACACAGGCATGGGTGGACCCAGAGACTACCTGAGCATGCCCCCAGGGTGGCATGGTGAATGGGGCTGGCTGGCGGGGACCCGGCTGGGCAGCCAATGGCTCCCACTTGCACCCACACCTCTGAGTAGGTCTGTGGGCCCTGCAGGGTCCTGGCTGATTCTCAGAGGGAGGAGGAGGCCCGTTGGTGTCCTCCAGGGGTGGTACTGGTGGCTCTGGTGGGTGAGGCTTGGCAGAACTTCTGAGGGCAGGGTGGGAGCCGCCGTGGCCAGAGGTGAGCCCTGGAGACCTACCGACCGGGGGTTGAATCCTGATTCTGCCTGCTTCTAGCTGTAGGTCACGGGCAGGCGGTTTCTCCAAGCCTCCGTTTCTTCATCTGTGAAGTGGGCAGCACCTACTTTGCAGGGTTCAGGAAAAGGTGGAACGGGGGTTGGAGACAGCAGAGCCTCCGGCCTGGCACTGGGGGCAGGAAAGCCCACCCGGCAACCTCCTATCTCTCTCCTCTTTCCCCCAACCCGGGCAGACCTTGGGGACTCATTGGCGAAGGGCATCCATTTGTTTGCTGGTTCTTTTTTTTTAATATATGTTTTTTATTTTAAAGTTGTGGGGTACAGTTAAGGGGTGGGTATACAAGCATTCATTGTGCAGGTACCCTTGTTGATGAGCTGTGCCCCCTTTTCCCCAGACAGATATTGACTAGCACCAATGCCCCTCCAGCCTGGCTCAGTGTGGGAGATGGCACATGGCCTGGCGGGCGGGAGGAGGCAGGCATGTGGCCGTGACCGTGGGTGAGAGTGTCACTGTCGCCAGGGTTGGCCCTGGGCGCCTGGAAGGAACCCCCCTGCCCTGGGCCTGGGAGGCTGGTGGAGTTTGGCAGGGACGGGGCGGGGGGATCGCAGGCAGAAGACATGGCGGGTATGGGCTGGGGTGTACAGGGGCATGCCAGGGGGGTGGTGGGGAAGGGCCGGGGCGGGCCCACCGAGGGCTCCCGGGTGAAGCCGGGGAACTGAGACCCCTGTGCAGGTGTGAGGCCGGGTGGTCCGGTGGACAGATGGGGAGGAGGCAAGCAGGGGGTCGACAGGGCCGGCCCCTTCCCCAGGCCTGGTCCTCCCTCCCCTCCGCAGCCTCAAGGGAGGGCCTCCTGCCAATCAAGCCGTCCTTTGCCCCTCCGTGTTAAAGGTGGCTCCTTGGACAGGGAGGGGCAGCCCTGGGTGGGCGAGAGGAGCTCGGAGGGCAGCCCCCTTGCCTCCGTAAAGGCTGATCTTTGTTCTGCCTTCCCTGGGGTACAGAAGATGACTCCTCTTGACTGTCCTGCGTGGTCTTCCCAGGAGACTAAAACCGCGTGGCTTTCAGGACAGGGCGCCCTGGCGTGCCATGTGCCACCTTCTTTACCATCCTGTTCAGGAAACACATGGGGTGTGTCTTGGGGTGCAGAGACCCTTTGTCACTGGCTCTTAGGGGTCTGGGATTCAGGATGATGAGGTGGGGTGGGTGGTGACAGCCCTGTCAGCCTGCTGAGGGCTTTCGTGTGGGGTCTGGGGCCTGGGAGGGCCCTGACCATGGCCAACCTCCCCCTCGCAAAGGGCTGCACACACCCCTCCCCTGGCCCTTCTCGAGTGGGGAACCAGGCTGTTTGTGCCTCGAATGGTTGTCTGAAGGATAGAGAACAAAGCCTACACCGTTGGCGGGAGACCCAGCTGTGGGTCTCCGCCCCCCTCCCAGCGCCGTACTGTGTGACTCTGGGCCGGTCCTATCCGTCTCTGGGCCTCTGCTTCCCCGTCTGTGCGGGAGCGAGGCTGTGGCTCTTGGGAGAGAGGGACGGAGGGGGTGGCCCGGGCTGGGTCCGCTCACTGGTTCTGCATGTCTTGGATGGTGTCGGGCAGCGGCAGGCCCTGGGTCTCAGGCAGCAGCAGTGCGGCAAGGCCACTGAGCACGGGCACGGTCCCGTACACCAGCAGGGGCAGCGAGGGGCCATGGACGCCCAGCAGCCGGACCAGAGGCCCCAGGATGGCTCCCGTGCGGGCCGCCATCTGGCCTAGGCCCACGGCTGTCATCCTGCAGGC